CGCTACTCACCTACTTGCGCGCAATTTGCACTATGCACCACCAAATCGCATGCCGTTTTCACCTCGCTTTACCAAATCGCGCGAGAATTTCAACGCGCTCCACCAGATTGCGCGAGCTCTTTAACGCACCTACCAAATTACGTTAAAAAAAAATAAAAAAATTTATCCACACCATGCTAGCGATTAACGCAAGACTACAACACCGATCTACTCTCAATACGATCCGGTACCCCTTTCTACTTGGCTCCCACATCGTCTCGAGAGTGGGGGGCTTGCGAGACAACTCCCACGAGGAGCCAACTCGCTCAATACTACCACCCGCAGCGAGACAACTCCCACGAGGAGACCACTCGCTCCATCCTACAACCCGTAGCGAGACAACTCCCACGAGGAGCCAACTCCCTCGGGTCTACGAAACCATAGCGAGATAATTCCCACGAGGAGACCACTCGCTCCGTCCTCTAACCCGTTGCGAGATAACTCCCACGAGGAGACAGCTCGCTCTATCCTACAACACATAGCGAGACAACTCCCACGAGGAGACCACTCGCTCCATCCTACAACCCGCAGCGAGACAACTCCCACGAGGAGCCAACTCCCTCGGGTCTACGAAACCATAGCGAGATAACTCCCACGAGGAGACCACTCGCTCCGTCCTCTAACCCGTTGCGAGATAACTCCCACGAGGAGCCAACTTGCGCAGTAATACAACCCACCGCGAGACAACTCCCACGAGGAGCAAAACTCGTTCGGTCCTACAACCCCTTACAAGGAAACTCCCACGAGGAGCCAAACCCCTCGGGTCTCAAAACCACAACGAGATAACTCCTACGAGGAGACCACTCGCTCCATCCTATGACCCGCAGCGAGATTACTCCCACGAGAAGCCAAGTCGCTCGGTACTACAACCCGTTGCGAGGCAACTCCCACGAGGAGTCAACTCCCTCGGATCCACAAACCCATAGCGAGATAACTCCTACGAGGATACCACTCGCTCCATCCTACGACCCGCAGCGAGGAAACTCCCACGAGGAGCCAACTCGCTTGGTCCTACGAACCCACAGCGAGATAACTCCTACGAGGAGACCACTCGCTCCATGCTACGACCCGCAGCGAGGAAACTCCCACGAAGAGCCAAGTCGCTCGGTACTACAACC